GGAGTACGCGCGCGTGCGCGTGTTTCCGATGCATGCAAATTCGCGCGAAAGAGGATGCGCGCGCGGGTCACGGCGAGTTTTCCCCTCTCCTTTTGTCTCTTCCATTACGTGTATATTCCAATGACGCGGAACACGGCGGTAAAAGGAGTAGAACGGAGGTGAAAGGAGGTGGCGGGAACGGAAAATATATCCATAAGACAGAGAGGAGCGGGCGCGTCACGGCACGGCGTAATAAAAACACCCGACCAGAAGGTGATCACTTCCGCGGCTCGTTCCACGGCTTTTTTTGCGATCGACCTGCACCTCCTGTGTCGAAAGTGTATTTTTATAACGCCACAATATTTCGTCCTGCCGCCGTCGCAACGTTATTATTGTTATATACATACACATGTGGATGAAAGACGAGCGCGCGTCGATATGCGCAAACGTATCGGAAATTGTCAACTTCCTTCATTCGCGGTGCTTCAAAAGTATATATATATATATAATACGGCAATTTATAAAAATTTAAAGCACTGTGGCGCGTTGGTTGATCATATCCAGTCCATCGGTGATGAATCGCGCACTGCTATCAGAGTATCATTAAAAACGTCACTGTTATCATTAGCGTTATGAAATCACTGTATTAATATTAGCCAAAAAATCTCACAGAATCTCTCTTATGTTAATTCTCATTAATTACGATAACCATGAAATATTTGCGTCACGTGAAACATTTGCGTATCGCTCTTTCAATTTCGCGGATATTCAAGAGAGAGAGAGAGAGAGAGAGAGAGAGAGGAGAGAGAGAGAGAGAGAGAGAGAGAGAGAAATCATCCGTATTATATAATTATCGTATTTTAGATATAAAAAATTACGCGGAATATTTTATATCTATATATCGAGTGAAATAATCCTATCACCTATTTATACGAAATATTTCTACCTGAAAAGCTTCATTCCCATATAATCACGGAAACATTGATATCCCGCTTTGCCTCCCGTTCACCTTCCCAACAATATCATAAACCGTATATTACAAACGGTATGAAAATATCGGCATGCACGCGAGGTTATTTCCGTGATCAAAAAGCGGAAGAGAGAGAGAGAGAGAGAGAGAGAGAGAGAGAGAGAGGGGGGGGAGAGAGAGAGAGAGAAGACAACGTTTCCGAAAAAATCCGAAAAATATCCGCTATCGCGTCGCGAATATGCGAGCCTTATTTGATTTACGTGTTTCTGCTGACCGCCGATGAAAAGCCAGCCGAGAAGGAGAAAAACGATTCGAGAGGAACGAGAGGAAAAAGCGCGGAGGCATCCGTGAATTTCGGTGAGCGAAATATCGCTGTGGGCGCGGTTTATTAGCGCACGAAAAGGAAACCGGTGGGGAGGATCGTTTTCGCGTTATTTATGCGCGCGCGTCAATGTTGCTGCCGGCGAATAAATTCACGAGCGGCGTTAAAACGCGGATCCCGCTCGCCGGGATCGGCCGCTGAGGAGGAAATATGCGGACGGTTTTATACGGCACTGTTCCGCGCTGTCAAATATTTATATGTTATGCTTTATTTTCAAAGAATTTCATCCTCCGCACGGCACGGAGCCCTCGGGAACGTTGATAAACGGCGCGTATTGATCGTGGTAGCCGGCGGGTCCGATTATTTCTGCTTAGCGAAGAACTCGGTAAACATCGACCGCGAGAGAGAGAGAGAGAGGGGGGAGTGAGGAGATGCCGTGGTGGCATCACCTACAGCGCGAAATTTATCAATTCGTCCGCAAATTCATCCCCGAATACCGTTTGTCGTGATTCGATTAAAGCCACGGCTCTGCTCAAAGGTAAAATGGGAATGCCACAACTGCGAGCTGAAGACCGCACTCATATCTCACGTGTAAGCAGTGTTTAAGCTTCCGCGTGGCCGCCGATTACTTCCCGAAATAACGTCCCTTAAGCCGTAGATCCGCGGTGCACACGTACGCGCACCTGTTTTTGTTATTATTGTTGTCCGATATGCAATATGATGTCGAGCTTCCGATATCTGCATTCAGCGTTAAACGCGATACGTCGCCCCATGCTGGTCTAAATCCATAGACGCTGTAGGCGGGAAAAACAACAACAACAACAACAGCGGCGGCGGTGGCAACGGTACTCCGCGCGCGTTTCGCACTCAATTAACTCGTACACGTGTAGACGCGGTTCTTTGAAAAGGAAAGAGGAAATAAAAAAAGGAAGAAAAGAAACGGAAAAAACAGCTCGCACACGTTTCAGATGACCGCTGTTTTCCGGCACAGCGCAAACGAACACGAAGAAATACAATTTGCTCGATACTATTAGAGGCCAATGAACAAACGCGGCCGAGCGCAAACCGCCGCGTAAATCGGGGCAAAGATCGGGGTAGAAGGGAATGATTGTGCGTCGGTAACCGCCGTTACGCGCTATCAAAGACTCGAAAGCATCGATATGATTCAAGCGCGTTAGCTTTGATATCTCCGAGTGCAAAGCACGAAAAACAAAAACACAAAAAAAATAAATGAATATGCTGTCGTACTTCGGGCGAGACGGCAAGGGGGTGGAGGGGAAAGAGGGTAGTGCATCGAATTCTGTCAGAGTATGCGAGACACGATCCGATTTTATGGAATAATAACAATCATGACGATAGTGAGATCGTTAGGATTCGAGCGAAATCAGCGAAGCTTGCCCGACGCAAGATCAATTTCGCGATCGCCCGCCACGTGCGCCGAATCTTGCGTACCTAAACGTCAAGCGCTAATTTTACGTCATCTGTCAGCTTTATGAAGTTAACCCGCGACTTAAAAAAAAATTTTTTTATACTAAACATGTGCCAAATTGTAGTAAAATTTGTAGTAAAAAGATAAAAAAGTTACAGGAGAGGGGAAGGCAAGGGCCTCCTGTGCAAAATTGGAGGGCTGAGTTCAAACCAAGCCTGATAGAAGCTAAATCGTTTGTAGAAATATGTAATGAAAGAATTTTCGTTTGTAGTTGCTCAGAAAAAAAGTTCCACACCCCTAAGTTCTAAGGGTAGCTATTTTCACCCCGTCGTGGGGACTGACTCGAAACCGGTTCTAATCGATGTTAAATGGTTTGTAGAAATATTTAGTGAAAGAATTTCCGTTTGTAGTCGCACGACAAGGACGAAATTAGAGACACTAGTTTGTACCCCTGCTACTTACAGGGATTGTAACTTTTTTCTTGAGCAACTACAAACGAAAATTCTTGCACTACATATTTCTACAAACTCTTTAGCATCGATTTGAACCGGTTTCAAGTCAGCCCCCACGATGGGGCGAAAATAGTTACCCTTAGAAGTTAAGGGTGAGCAACTTTTTTTCTGAGCAACTACAAACGAAAATTCTATATATATATATATATTTCTACAAACGATTTGGCTTCTATTAGGTTTGATTTGAACTCAGCCCTCCAATTTTGCGGGCGGCCCTTGCCTTCCCCTTGCGTGTAACTTTTTTATTTTTTTACTACAAACAAAAATTCTTTCACTACATATTTCTACAAACAATTTGGCACATGTTTGATGCAAGAAAAGATTTTTTTTTAAAGTCGCGGGCTAACATCACAAAACTGCATCCGTCGCATTAGTCACGTGCGGCCCGGCGCTCGCCCGATGATGTGAACCCGCGATCGCCGCGATCGGGAATCGCAATCGGCCGCCGGTGATCCGGCGAGTGATCGTCTCGTGGGACGAAGAAGGGAATAATTGCGGGGAATAATTTTCGTTCGGGTTGAATTGAGGCATGTCTCATTCAAGCGAGCCGAGAAATCAATATCGTGCGCCACGTCTCCGCGACAATGTCCGAGTAGCGTAGGCGCGCGAAGGTGAGCATAGACTACCAGGGCGACTATGAGAGCGACTTGGAAACTGGAGCGACGGCGACAACGGCGGCGGCGGCGGAGACAATTAATCGAAAACTTGTAGCGCTTACGCTCGCGCGGCCGTTGATTGAGACGCATTGCGAGCAGCCGCGCATTCTCCCTAATCAGAGATTAGGGATGCGTGGGATTACAATGGGCAATGGCGATTAGATCAGCGGGCTCTACACATCAGCAACAATGTTGATACAATTTCGTAAGAGAGAATGAGAAATATAATGATGACCAGAATTGAGGTTAACCGTGTAACACGATCTACAGGGGTTTTACAAGGGCTTCGGAATGCCACGGCTAAACGTCAAATATTTGAATATTATTACGTAAACATTGTGTTGTACACCCGTACGTCTGCGTCGGCCAAATTACGCTGAGATTGGAGAAATATTTAAGTACGTTGCACCAAATATTTGGAGACTCAAATAAATTTACACTGGGGAAGGGAGCTCGGTATTGTTCGAGTCTCGCGAGTGTTTTCGAGAGTACCGCGAACGTGCAGAGAAAGAGAGAGAGAGAGAGAGAGAGGGGGGGGGGAGATGAGAGAGAAAGAGAGATGTTTTCGAGCAGAATGTAATAATAATATTATATAATCAAATTATATTCAGAAAATATATATACGTGCAATTAACAGATCATCAACGTTCGCAATATTAACTTTATATTCAATTGAAACGATACGCAATATTGTGCAACAATTAATATACCGATGAAACGTGTAGTAAATAATATATTGCTTAAAAATATTATACCTACACAGACACACCGACTGATACAAATAGCAGCCAATGACCGTTGATTAGTTAAAAATATTCCCGAAATATTGTGCTCCCGTCGTCGTGCCAGGCGTGACACGCTCGTGTCATTGCGTCAATCGCGCCATGGCTACATTTTATTGTTACAGGACACGTCGCACAGCGACTGGTGATGAAACTGCGTTTCGAAATGCTCGTCAAAGCGTGACGTAAGGTGACGCGCGAGGTTGAAAGCCGCCGCGGCAGCGAGCACGTTGCAAAAGTTACAACAGCCGGCTATTGCGGAAATATTTTGGTGAAAATTTCATTGAATGTCGACGCGGAAACGGTGCAGCACGCGACCGACGTTTCGAAAAATTCAATTCGTATCCTACCTTACTTGGCATCTTGCGTCGCGGCCGACACCACGCCATCCTCCTGAACAAACAAGTAGATATTTCATGAAGCAAAAGTCACACTATCGATCCATCGACGCGAAGCGATTTTTCCTTTTTATTTATATCTCCTATATTTCGGGCGGCATGGAAAACGTAGTGACTTTGTTTCTAGTTGACAGTCAGTTTTTGTCAGGTTAACCCCGTGAAAAATGTTATGTAAACTAATAGATAATTAATAGCTACATAATTATTGCTTGTCTCAATCAATAACTGTACTAATTACTTCTATCATTTATTATTTACTATCCATAACTATTATATTGCATCTGGAATAAATATATTGATCTTGGCGTTAACTCAGAAACGAACGAAAGTATATTTCATTATAAAGTTGCATATTTTTTACTACAATTATAAAATTTTCAAAGACGATAGATTTTCTCCAAAAATGTTCAAATTAATTACGTTCAGATAAGTACAGAATAAAAGATTCACAGACTGATTCAAATTTCTCGATTAAAAAGATCGAACATTAACACGCGGTTATATTTGGATGCTGCGTGAATTTGGATTAATTGAGTGAAACGGAGCGTCATTGTGTCACTCGAAATTATATCTTCGCACTTTCAAAAATTATAATATTGTATAATATAATGTTTCCATGTTCCGTAATTTCCTTCAGATATTATGATTATGTATGCGATTCAGAGGTAGGGGCTTGATAGAAAGATTAGATTTATTCATCAGATCTACTCGCCATCGCCACCCTTTCATGGTAACGCGATTTAAATGAAAATTTCATCAGCGCGAGCCAAGCGGTCACGCCGATGCTTTCATGTAACATTGCTCGACCGATGCGGGAACATTGCGTGCAAGCTCGCAAAAAGATAGTCGCGCCGATGGTGACACGAAAATTGCATCTTTCGGCAAAGCCGTCGCCTATTAGTTCGCATTCTAACATTCGCATGTGCATCAAAGGTGCACTCAAATATGAACCAAGTAAACTCTGCCATCACCGATTACGACGCGACGTGTTAACAAGTCCCATCCTCAAAGCTTCGACAAATCGAATTAGCGTCTACAAAAAGCGTTTGCTGTTTAATTATACGGCATTATACGGCGGCAGCCGAAACGCGGCTATAAAAAGGCAAGCACTAAATTTTCACGGACATTCTCTCTCGAAAAATCGGAAGTACATTGAAAATAATTCTATTCTCCACACAATTTCGAGAGCGAATTCCAATTTAATAATGTTTTTTTTAATTCAATCTTCATTTAATCTTCAAGGTTGAAAGAACGAGCTGTAATCAGATTTTCAGACGCGAATCCGCACGTTAGATCCAACGGAAAGCCGTTGTGTTATACGCGTGCACGGATTTTCTACGAGTATATCCGTTTAATATTAATAAGCGACGAGGGACTCGCACGAAGTTCAACCACGCGAAATGCTCGTGCTCTCTATTGTGCCGCGCGAATAATTAAATAGATGAATCGGAGATTACAGCGCGACGATCATAAATTTCGCCACCGCGCCCCGCGCGTCGCATCGCGAATTCAGAAAGTACATAATCATTTTTGGAATTCCCAAAAGCAGATCGCATTGGTTATGACAATAGATTGTACGCTTAAGCGTCTTCGCAGCGCTTGATGCGCACAGCATTCTTTATACTCGTTATTTAGCAATTTATCGTACCATCTAACTATCATCGCTGTCGATGGAAACACTATCAAAGGCTATCACGCAACGGCGACACGTATGTGACAAGCAGCCATTTAACAACGTCGATGGATGTCAGCAAGAATGATTCCGATCGCCGAAGCGGATTACAACCTTCGTCACGAAACGTTGTTCCCGCAGAGCGTTGTTCCAACGGAACGCGTTGTTATTTTCGCTAATACGCAATTAACCCGTTTTTTCTCTCTCACGTCGACAAGCCATCGATCAGACTCCGAAATATTACCGTCGTAGAGGCGTTTCAAGTGAATGTGTGTAAACTCTACCTTCGACATAATTTCCTCTCGAATGATAAATTCTCACGTAAAAAACAGATTTACGTACTACTTAACTTTAGTTAAACGCGAAAAACATCCACTTTCACTCGATCTCAAAATTTATTGTAAATCTAATAAAATCAGATGCGTCTCACGAAAGACGAAAGAGAAATCTTGTATTACGTCTTCTGATACACCCTTTCGAATTTGGCCGGATTATATGATACTTCTAATTGATGCGCATATAGTAAGTACCGAGAAGCTCGAAAGCACGGGGGGGATATCGCGCGCGTTCGTTCGTTCGTTGCTCGCGCTGAAGAGCTCGTTTTCTTGAACACTCTGCAGGAACAAAAAAGAAATTTCATCTATTATAATGCTTTCCGCCGCTCGTGTTTCCCAGTTATTTAAAAACTGTGGAATACATTTCGCTGCGGCTCACGGCATTCCGCGTGGCCTCACAGTAATCTCCGGCGCGCAGTCTCCCGAGCCGCGCCGGCAAACTCATTATTTTTCCTCGATGCTGGGGGGGACAACACGCAGTGTACTCGAGGACGATGTACTTACGCTCGGACATTTTTACACACACCTACCGCGAGAAATACCGAGGGAATCGGGTTCTCTGCCGGATGGGCACGACATTCTCTCTCTCTCTCTCTCTCTCTCTCTCTCTCTCTCTCTCTCTCTCTCTCTCTCTCTCTCTCTCTCTCTCTCTCTCTCTCTCTCTCTCTCTCTCTCTCTCTCATCGCCGCCGACGCAGTTGATCAAACTAACCGAGCTAGCTGAACTTTCTTGCGATAGGCAAAAAGACGTATTAATCCCAAGATCTACCCCCTCCCCTTCTCCGTGAGAACAGGACGGAGATTAATTCGAGACGATTCAGTCCGACAAAAATTTTCCGACGAGCTTTTATAAAAGAATTTTTTATACATCACACACATACACATATACACGTTCCAAGCAGGGCACGCAGCGCTGCTTGATAATTCTCTATACGCGTAGAAACTGTCGATCGCGCAGTCGAATTCGATTACACCTGGGAGAACGTGATGTTCTCCCGCATCCTCGACACCAGAGCATTCTTGAGCGCGACAGACTGCGCGAATAATAGTAAGCGGTGGCGATTCGACGACTTGTCACCGTCGCTGCAAATAAACTGAATACGAAACAACGATACCTCGGCTATCTCGACGACGGCACGTGTTGTTTGCACGTTGTATTCCGCGAGGGATAGAGCGACATATTCGTACTAGTCGACAGAAGAGAAGGTATTCCCCGAAGTATAATGCTTCTGTTAATGTTATCCTCGATATGGAATCTGAGTTTGTGCATTTTACTTTGGCAATCACGCGAATAAGTTGCGCGGCAAGCATACGACTATGTTTCTAATTGTAAGAAAGTCCGACGAAATATTCCGAATGGGGGTCTCTTGTTCTTCCTTTTCTTCTTTATTTTTTCCTTGATATTCGCGGAAGTAGACCCGCGCGCGCCCTTTTGCTCCTTTCGCATGTAAGCTATCGGTTGTGATATATTACTGGTTCTGTTATTAAACTTTAGCAATATCTATGTCGGTCATCTTGATTTATGATGTCAGAGGCGAGAAATCGAACGAGACTTTTTTGTTTCACCAAACGAATGATTTTTCAATAAAATAATATCGATAAAAATATCGCGTTGTTCGTTTCGGGGCGGAGAGAACAACAGGAAGTGCACAGGAAATTTCATCGGAGGAGAAACGAGAAAAAATGGGAACGAGTTATAGAAAACTTAATTAATTAATTAGAAACTGCAATTGTGTGGAAGAGAAAACAAGAGTGTATCACGTTTAAATCAACATAACCTTCGCGAGTTCTTCTCGTAAGTCAACATTATTGGATTGTAACAGCTGGAAAAATCACTTACTCGAACACAAGTTGCGAGAAATGAAAATTTCTCTCAACTTGTGTTCCCGGCTTCTCCGCGCGTAACATCGCAACCGATTACAACCGAAATAATACAATAGAGCGCGATCGCGCGACCATATTACCGAGTTGTAATAATGGAATCAATATTATACGTACTTTATCTACGTCTACAAGCAAACAATGACACTATTGAGCCAGCGTTCGTCTATAACATGGTGGAGCAGCAGTAATTATTGCGAGTGGATCGATGAGGTAATGGTCAATACACATTACAATACATGTATGTCATGTAGTCAATATTTATTCTTGATGCATGTAACCACATACGACATAGTGTGGTCGCGTTCCTATTAATCAATGATCCTCCAACTCAGTGAGATTCTGATGTCATGTGAAATACTTTTCTTTTTAACACGATAAGGAAAAAGTGGAAAACAATAGCGAGCGATCACGTTGATAGATATTTATATTAAAATTTCTTTCGGATAAACATAAGTAATATTGTGCATGTTTGCGATTAAGCGTGCAATTGAGAGCAATTTTGAAAATTTAATTATTAAGACAGAAATACCTCAATTCGCACATTCAATTATTTAAACATTCCGATATGATCGTGATATCGCTTTATCGCAGTTATTTTTGATCGTTATTAATATTTAAAAGAATGTTTTAACTTTCAAAGTAGCAAAATAGACATTGCTTTAATTAATTAATAGTGCTGTTTTTTTTTTCAACTTGTATCGGTGGTTAATTAATCAACTGTACCATCTTCCTACCGTCATTCTACATTTACGATATTTCAATGAAAAAATATACGATCAAGAAACGATTCCAATCATAATGCGACGATCGGATTTTGCAAAATGCTATCTATACCATATTTACCACATAAGCCAAATGTCCGGCAGTTAGGGGAGAATTCGAAGATTCCGCAATCTGACGGTAGCCAACAGGTCTCCCGTTTCCCCGGACCGTACGGAATCACCGACGACCTCGTATAAATCGCGGTATGGCAAATGGAACTCTCTGAGAAATGTGCGAGGAACGTCGCCAGCCGACGCCGAAGAAAGGCTGCCTTTGTGCCTTGCGCACTCCGGCTGACTTGTGTCGCCGATTACTACTTGTCCGTTGTCGACGCTCCATTTCA